TATTCGTACATACAATACACAATATTATCAAGATATTCTATTCAACATGGTTGAAACTTCGTTCTTTACCAAGTGTTAAAACGACAATTTACTTAATAAATGATCAGCATATCATCCTGGAAATCCCCTTCCAATTTAATACTTAAGCAGTAATACACAGCTACCCTTGAACTCATACAAATGCAGTAATGTACTACATCAAGACTTACTTGTTTGGCACAGGAAAACCTTGGTTTGTAGTAACCAACTCTCACTTCCAAAGAGTATAGAAGTCTATAGTTCGTAGTACATACCCCCTTCCATTTAATCATTAACATCAGGCTGAAACTTCGTGAATAGCCTCATCTCATGGTAACCTACAACTATTTTATTTACGAAAACTATTGGAATTGGGGCTTTTTCAGTTGGGAGATCGTCAAATTTTGTCTGTTTAATTGCGTAATAAAAACCCGTTAAAACCCATTTTCTTTCCAATTGGATCGTAAGATAATTTGATCACAAAATCGAAAGAAAAAAAACCGGTGTGTCCACTCACACGACTTTCCTACCTATATCAGAAAAGTTTTTATATCTTTACATATGTACATCAAGAAACAAAAAAAAATTTAATTAAATTAATTTTCCTAAAAATTGATCAAAGAAAAGCTTTGAGTACGATTTAATAGATAAACTAAAGCAATGTAAACCTTAAGGTAGGCCAGTGTAACAATTTCAATACCCTCTAATATTACTGATCAAAAACTTTTTTCCATAGCTTTAATTTTGATGCGGGCAACAGATTTTCATACTTTCACTTAGCCATCTTTTTTCTTTCATTCAACCCTATCTGACAGCAGGAAATGAACCTGTAATCTTACATTGGGAATTGAATAGCAGTAACTTCGTTAATAATTGTCCAAAATGAACGATTTTTATATAGTTTTGTATGGAATTTCATTATCTTTTCGTCAGAACATTATACGAAAGTTTCATCAAAACCCTTGGTGCTGTTTTCGCGCATGGAGCACCCATTTTCTGTCACAGGCATGAGTAGTAAAAATCCTACATAATAAAAAAAGAAGCAACAAAATAGGTTCAGTAGTTCCCGTGAAAATCTTGGCACAGACAGACAGACCAATGGCTAAAAATGTGTCTTTCAAACTCAGGGGACATTGAAACGTATAGATCCTTCGAAAACCGCGTATCGGAAATTTGACTCGATCGCAATACTTTCCTTACCTAGTATAGGTAACCAAAAATATCAAAAGATTTCTTCCGATATTATACAAAGTGAACAAGGGATCATAAAGCTATTCTCTTCCATTTAACTTTCAATTGATTACTAGTTCGTCGAAGATTATCATAAATAGCAATATTTTAATTTTGAAAATCCAAACAAAATGTGATGAGTATCTCTTAGTAACCATAGGGCCAAAGAAGCTCACGGGATGAATTATGATTAAATTCGAAAATGAGAAATTTTTAGGCTTTAAACGCAGAACCCAGTACAGTCCCCTTCATGTCAAAATCTTTAAAAAACAATTCGTTAAATGGCTTTAATTTTTGATGCAGTAAGGTTTTGCTATTTGAAATTGGGATCAGTCACTTCTCCATGAAGTTTCATTTCGTTTGATGAAACGAAATCCACATTCAACAAAATCCATCGTTCCGGAAAAAAGATCCGTTCTACAATGCTCACAGATGATAACTATTGATAAAAGTACTGTCAAGTATGTAATTTACTCATATAAAAAGGTGTATTAAAATTTTATCTTAAAGTTTAACTCCAGCAAAGTGTCCTAAAATTTAAAAAAAAAAATAAACACGCATAAAAAAAAAAAAATGGTGTAGAACAAATCCATTGTCAATATTAACGCCTTTTATACAATAAAGATAGTTCCTGTCAAGGCTCTTGTTTCTTTGAAAAAGAAAAACACTAGAACGTCACGGTTAGATCAGAGGCGAATAGAAAAAGTTAACATCACGGATTACTCGTCATGTTAAAAATGAAAGGTAACTCACGCTATAACCATAATAAATAATTTACTTTTGTTTTTCAATAAATCTATCATATTATTTTTTTTCCTTCAGTAGTTTATATAGAATATAATTTTAAAAATCCAAAAACGATTTACTTTTCTAAATGCCAAGTAAAAATGTCAGAAAAACAATAAAATATAAATCGAACCTATAATAAGTAAAACGTTATTAGAATAACATAGACCAACGCACATTTATACAGATTATATTATACTCCACAATTAAAATTATAGATTACAAATGAACTGATTTAAAAATTTATTTTGAAATTGATGTTAAAAACATTAATCAACTAGTATATTCAACACTAAAGAAATATATATAACGAAAATCATAGGGGAATCAACGGAATGGGGGGGAGGAGGAGCATTCGAGATGAAGACCCTCCAAAATGGTAAAATATAACGATTTTTTATGGAAATAATTATCTCTAAAAGTATTATTGTTCATCTAATTACATGTAGTAAGACTTAAAGAACCACTTAAATACCATTTCATATATGTAGTTAGTTTCTTTCTTTCTCCGAAGTATTTACCCTAATCATACATACAAAAAAAAAATCGGGCTGAAGCCCCCTCCCAAATTAAATCTGGACCAAGTGTTCTATAGCGATAAATGTATTTCGTTATTTGACGAAGTAATATTTAATTTATCGATTTTGTAATCCTTTTGAAAGAAATGACACTAATTACGGTGGTATGGTCATTGTCCAACCATATCTTTATATTATATTACCAATGAGTAGAAAGACTGTTGCGAAAAGTGCAAGGAAAACGGGTTGATTACGCATTTGCCCAGAAGGACGAGTTTAATAAAATAAAAATAGATGAAAAAAGAAGTCAGATTTGAATAACTTGCTGACTATTTCACAATCCGTTCTCGATAGGTCTTTGTTTACGCGTCCAACAGGTTTCTCTTTCGATTACAGTAAAAGAAATGTCTGGTATTAATTAATCACATACAATTTAAATACAAACTGTTTTTTCGTACTGTCATCAACACAGTTATGACAGTTGTTATGACAGCGCAGTGCTCGGCTAAGGGGATAGCTGTTTGACAGTTTATCCTGAACCGACCAAGGATTACGGGTTCATGACTCAAACTGCGCGTAGAAACATCTGAAATCTATCAGCTCATTTACCCCGGGTGTACTATATAAATAAATATATCATTTGTTTTTAATTATTTATTTTTATAATAATTAATTTGTATATGGAAACTAATTTTACCCAAAATACTAAGACAATGTTATAATTAATGTATAAGACAATGTAATAAATTAAGAGGCAAATTGAAAAAGCCAGAAATGTAGTTTCGTCTAGCCTAATATATTTTAAATACATTTCAATAATATTTTATCAAAATATCTAGTCAAATATATAGACTATTTTAATTTGTTGTCGCTTATCAGAAATCAATGAAGAATTTAAATAACCTATTTTATTAAGTTATAATCCCTTTTTCTTCTCCAGTTGATAAACCATGGCACCAAATAACGTTAACCAGACAAGACGAGACCAGAACTAATATTTTTGCCAGAAGAAGGAGGAGCAAAGTTTAATTTTTCCCTCAAGTCGACAGTTTCATAACTTTATTATAAGTAATACATTTTGAAATAAATATTATCTTCTCATAATAGTAATGCATTTTATTGCAATCATCGAGAAAAAAACAATATGAAAAAATAAATAAGGACAAATGAATTTTTTTTATTAAATCTAAAATAAAATTTCCTTGGAAATTTACCGTAATCTTAACTCTACAACAAATGGCAAGTCCTCCCTTCCCTTCCCACATTTCCGGCCTTGACTTTTACAAATAATAAAAACCATAATACGTATTAAATCATTTTTAAGTTCTGTTTGTTGTTTAACTGTTCAATGGAACTTTTTATTACAGGAACAATAATGAAACGTTATACATAAAAAGTACATTAATGGAACTTGTTTAATTATTACACCTACGCTAAAAGTGTAATTTGAGAAATAATGGATCAGTTCGTTACATATGTACCATCAATCGGAGAATATATATATATATATTTACATTGTCAGAAGAAATATTTTAATATTATTACTTAATATATTTACTCTATAATATTATATTTGAACAAAAAATCTAGTTTATAACCACAAAGAAGTAAGAAATTTTTTATTCTAAGAGAAGAAAAACCAATAAAAAATGTACTTAAAAAGACCTCCACGTGATGCAAATATTCAAAAATGGAACAGCAACGAAATTATTTCTTATATTTAATTTTTTTTTAAATGAAATAATTGTAGACTTCAACTATTATTATATTAGCTGCAATAGAAATGTTGATGTTTCAATGGTGTAAGATTTACTAGAAAATTGATTAAGACGTTTAATATCGGCCATTAAAGTCTCCGTTCATCTCGAATGGCGCAGCCAGAATTCCTCTTAGGATAAAGTTAGTATTTATAAAAAATAAAATGCATTGTTTTTTCAGTTTCAGGTTGAACATATATCTTACTTTTTTGAAATCAACAAAAATAAAAGTCTGTATGAATTTTAAGATATAAATAGATAATTATATTTATTTTTCTCAAAATTGATTAAGTATTCTAGTAATTATACTTTAAACTGGTTTATAACAAGGTAGTTAGACCAAAATATCAATGCTTGAACCCCACCGGAAAGTGGTTCTATTAAAAAGCTACCTAGTGGTTGCTAGGTGGACGAAGTTCTAAAAATACATGGAACATATAAAGAAATAGCAGGGAGGGAGGCTGAGGTCAGTGAATTTTTATAACCGGTTTGGACAGGCGATCTGCCTCTGCGATCATCCGTCTTTGCCACCGACACGGCTGCGCATATCTAATGATTGCTCATCAAGAAGGTTGATCCGTGTCCGAAGAGGCGGTGCATAAGGAGAAGAAAAGGGTCATCCTAAAACCTACTACAGGGGCCCCAACCAAAGAGACGTGATCCTGCGGATTATTGGTAAGCTGACACTGACCTGCTTTGATCCGAAGACAGACGACACCGCAAGCCGAAGACTAGAAGAGAGGAAGAGGTTCAGACATGACCACGACCAAACACCAACTGCAGGATCAGCCTGCTCCCCCACTATACCTGACGTCACCGTTCACTTGTCAACGGCCGCTGCCGAACAGGAGGGTATGCAGCAACAGGTTTGTCTTTTCCGATCTTTGAAAAACAAAATAAAATTACATACTGGGATGAATCCGAGCAAAGGAAACGTTTTCAAAAAATCTTTCTCACGATCGCAGTTTTAATGGAATAAATCGTATGCTGGTGCGCGCACCTAACAAATTCCACTTACCATCTTACTTTAATTAGACATTAACTCCTGCACAAATAGGACTAGTTAATCTTAAGCTATTATCGGTCCCCATTATAAAACTATAGTACTTATTGAAATTTAAACCATAATCCAGGCATGCCTTTGAATACATCATTGAGGTGCATTATTTCTCTCTCTCTCTCTCTCTCTCTCTCTCTCTCTCTCTCTCTCTCTCTCTCTCTCTCTCTCCTCTCTCTCCTCTCTCTCTCTCTCTCTCTCTCCTCTCTCTCTCCTCTCTCTCTCTCTCTCATCTCTCTCTCTCTCCTCTCTCTCTCTCTCACTCTCCTCTCTCTCTCTCTCTCACTCTCTCTCTCTCTCCTCTCTCTCTCTCCTCTCTCTCTCTCTCTCTCTCTCTCTCATCTCTCTATATCTATATATATATATATCTTATCTATATATATATATATATATCTATATTCTATTTCATACTATCTATATATATATATATATATATATATATATATATATATAAACGAATGTATGTTTGTCTGTTTCTCCTTTATGGATTACTAAACCATTCATCCGATCGCCACGGAACTTCGGCAAGTTGTTGCGTTCACTCTCGAGAAGGTTTCTGGCATAGTACTTCTGTCTTACTGTAATTTTATATGTGTAAACATAATAAAAATGTAAATGTTTTTTAATTCAAAGCCGCTATTCTCCGAAAGTTCTTCACCGATTGCTTTGAAATTTTAACATAGCGTTGCCATCGAATTCAGGAGTGTTTTTGAACATTTTATTACCAACCGGACTTTCGTTTCGAAATGGTGGCCGAAAAACTTGTCGCTATAAACTGTAACGCTAAAACTGCTGTAACGATTTTAATGAAACTTGGCTAAAGTCTTGAAACCCTTTTAATTTTTATATATAACATAATTTCCCGAAAACAAGCTACAAAAAATGTAACCATGGATTCAGAATTTTATTTACGAAAAAATAAAAAATTAAACATTTTTTATTGATAATAAACATATTTATTTGGAAGATTCCTGAATTCCCTACACTCAAATCATCAGAATTAGTTTAAATTGAAGCTATGCTGAAGAGAAATTTGTTTCTCAACTTTTTAAAAATGAGAGATGTCCTTTGGTATTAATCCACTCATATGTGATTTCTACTTTTTTTCTTTACCATTTTGCCAGACTGAGCCATAGCAGCGCGTAGCCGTGCAAGGCTAGATTATTATGAAATTGTCAAGATTGAAATTTTAGAGGCTAAAGACATATTTTGACGGAATTTTGAAATTTGAGGGGAGCCATTTCGATAGGGTAAATTTTTTTCGATCCAATACGTTTCAAAAGAGGAGGCAAGAGAAAACATGGAACAGATCGCAGCAAATCTAATTGTATATGAATTAAGGTTTTTAAATTCTAAGTTTTTTTTTCTCATCCTCCAACGATTTTATTTTATCAATAAAATGTATACGTATAAATCCATTTTTGCTTATTCCTTGTACTGCCCAAAGGCACTTAAATTCTACTTTCGCCTGCACTGTTTATAAAAGGAGAAGAGCAATAAAAATATCTTGGAACGGGAGGAAGAGGTTCATGCGCCATCAACCTTAAGGGGTATGGGCGCCACTGATGTATCAGATGTTGTTTTGTCTGAAATCCTTGGTTTTTCAATGATATATTACAAATCTTCCTCACTAAAATTTTTTTTCAACCCGGAGAAATTGAGAAATTCAAAATTTCTTTTTTGTTCTCCTTAAATTAATTATCAAATAATTTTATAATTCATACCTATCCGTTTTTTTATTATTACTGACAATGATATATTGTTAATTATTTCAAATAAACCGAATTAAAGGTACGCTACACGAGGTCATTTAAAAAATTCTGCCCTGTCAGACTATTTCAATAGGGATAATACCTAAGTAATATTATTGATAAATATAAAAGAAGGGGATGGTTGAGGAGAGCACGTTTTTACGAAGTTTTGGCTTTTTCAGGAGGTACTTTTTGATGGAGATGGGATTTTTTGGAGTGACCGATATGTTTGTAGTTTCAATTTTGGGAAAATTGGAAACTGGAGAGAGCAAAAACTCCGAATAGACCACAGCAAGAGTAATTGTATATAAAATACATTTTATTTTTTATCCTACTACAGGTATGTTTATTCCCTCTTCCCAAGTGGATCCCTTCCCAAGAAATTGTATTGGACTCCTCTTCTTAAAAGTGATACAAGTTTAGGTTTGGGTTTATTTCGCATACAGCGTGCTGAGCCCTCTTACCTTAAAATGCCCTTGGGCAATAAAAGGAAAGTTGAAAATTTATGTATATATACATTTATATACATACTGTATTTATTCAAGAAATTCCTGGGGGATAGGAAAAAAAAAAAGTTTGGGTTTATCCCCGTTCAATGAAAGTCACAAAGCCTTCTGCCACATATGTAACCCTTAACTCCCCAACTTAAATCCCCAATCCTTAAAATGCCCTCGGGCAGTGGAAGGAATTTGTTACATGTATATATTGTATTATTGTATACTATAAATGTAAATTGTTTCAATAAACATTTTGGAGGGTAAGAAAAAAAAAAAAAAAAAAAAGTTTGGGTTTATTTAATAATAATAAAAGTGGCAACATCCATCCATCTGTGTCAACAATAATGTATAAGATTTACAAAATTTAAATTTAATTTTTACAATTTAGTGAAAGTTACATTATAAAAAATAATTGTTCTTTTACACTTACTGTGATTGGTTTCATCTATATATGCTTGTTCCTAGGAATCTATTAACAATTCTTATATTTATAATTGGTAATTGGTTGACTGTCGTGGATAATGAAGAGAAGAATAGTTGGGGTAGATGTTTTGTCTGAAATCCTTGGTTTTTCCATGATATATTACAAAACACCTATTTCTCTATCTAACTACTCCATTCTCAATGTTTTAATTTTACTATTTATTTTATTTTCATTTCTTATATAACTTTATATTTCTTTTTTATGTTTTTACATTTTATTCTAAGATTCCCAATGTAACACTTTGTCACCCCTTTTTGATTATGCCTACTTCATCATTCCACACTATGTAACAGTTTTTATTATTTATCTCTTAGTTCTTAGTCATTATTCTAACAATTTCATTTTACTTTATATCTATCTATTTTATTTTTATAATAATTTTTTTAAATTTTATTTTCTCATTTTTTATTATCTTTTTTACCATCATTACTTATGTTTCTCATACCCTGTTATCTGGTTATTTTCTTAGCCCTGATGAAGGCCTGAACTTCAGGTCGAAACGTCGGCATATGTAAAAAATAAATATTATAATTTATTTTTTGACTGAGCACCCCAACTATTCTTCTCTTCAATTCTTATATTTATTCAATAAGTATAAACATACCTCCATCTTTAATTTTGTTATATTAACAGTTTACTGTCGTGAAAATAATGAAGAGGAGTAGGTTGTGGTGAGCAGTCACAAGTTAAAACGGAAAAATAAATACATTATATTTATTTTTATTTTTGCCGACTCAAGGTTCACCCCTCTGTTCTCACGAAGGGCTCCTTCGCAAGACTAAGTTTTTATGAGGATTGTCTTGAAAACAATAAATATTTTTATAAAGCGAAGGTATAATAAAATTATGTAGTTCATATACATTGCTCTTGCTGTAGACTATTCCATGTGTTTACCTTTCATGTTTCCAAGTTTCTCTAAATTGAAACATCTACAAAAATATGGTGTCCTTCAAAAGACACTGTTCTGGGCACCCCCATCGCTATACTTTACCACTCCGCTATGAATATGAAACAGGTATAAAAAAACACAGAAATCGTAAAGCAGTGGTTAGCTATATAAATGTTAATTGATACCAAAGGAGGAAAAAGTCTTACTCAATATTGTAAACACCGCTGGGGAAAACCCCTTTGCACTTTCAGTCCAGGAAAATGTACACTTCTACTTATGCAAAGACCTGCTTATAGTGCTAAATTGTGTTAAAATGACTTGTGACGTACGTGTTAACTATCACGAAGCTGCAAAGAAAGTATAGATAAACCGATTTATATCAACATATACATAATTTAACTCAGTCTATTTCTTCAAACAAACAAAATTATTATTACTTCAAGAAACATTTAATTGTACCGAATTATTTAATGAAAATGGATGGTCGTAGAATTTAGTCGGATACATAAAGCTGTTGTAAACTGTGAAAGGATAGATGGAGAGATTATGGAGGCGTGATCACCGATTTCAATGAAAGTCTTTTTTGGCCATCCTAGGTCGAAAAATTTAGATCGAAGGAGCAAATTGTCAAATATTTTTTTCAATGATATCCTTAAAAAAAATCTTAAATGTGAATTTTCATAGAAATTAAAAAAAAAAAATTTCTCAAAATGTTTGTCAACCTTGACACAAATCAGACCTCCATAAACAAATTAGAGCTGGAAATATATATAAAAAAAAAAGATTAAGAAGTTTTTTTTTATTTGTTTCTCATAAAGTTGTAAAATCAATCAACGAAACTGATATTACGTATTTTAAGATATATAAAGGTATATTCTTTAGATGTCCTAGCAACTTTTTCCTTAAAATCGGCTAACCGGACGAGCCACTTTATATCAACGGTGAAACACATTTTTGCAATTTTCTCAAAAACAGCTCTAACGATTTTGATTAAACCTGGTGTTTCATTGTATAATTAAGTAGTCTTTAACACCATTTAGGTCTTATATCCATTGATGTCACTTCACAGGGCTTAAATGCCCAAT